GCGCGGCAGCGACAGAGGCGGCCGCGGTGCCGCCGGTGCGCGCTCTGGTGCAGGTCGAGGTGGCCGCTGTGGCGGAAGCTCTTGCCACACTCACTGCACGTGTAAGGCCTGCCCACTGCGGCCTGTGATGCGGCCAACATGGTGACGGCCAGGCCCCCGGCGCCTTCCGGGTGTGGTGTCCCACTCACACTCCGGGGTCCACGTCCTGGAGCTGTGGGTTACTTTCACTTTTCTTAAGGCCTTGAAGGGGACCTGTAGCAGAGGGGAGAGGGAGAGGCCTGGACAACTGGTCTGTGGATCCCAGGGCTCCTTCTCTCATGGGCAGGTGCTGTGGCTTTTTCAGAGGTGAGCGGCAGCTAGATGTGCCATGTACCGTGAGCCCTGCAGGGAGAAGGTCACTGTCACCCCAGCTACACCCTGGGGAATGGAAGGGCAAGTACAGGCTCCCTGTTTTTTGTAACTTCCTCAGCTACGGCATCCCCTGAATTCCCATTCTCGAAGAGGAGGCAAAGCCTTGAGGGTGCTAGAATCATGGGGAGGGGGGTCCTTGTGCCACTAGGAAGGGCAGGACGGACTCAGAGGGGAGCTTGCCTCCAGTACATTGTGAGGAAGGGGATGAGGTTGAGGGCCTCGCCTATTTTATGGTCTTAGACCAGGGATCTGGGCCTGAAGATGCCCTAGGAAATGACCAAGGAAGGATAGGCAATGAGAAGTCCCCTGGGCCTAGACCACACCAGCACCTTCTTCCAGAGACCTGGCTTTCCTGAGTCACCAGTGCAAACGCAGCCAGGCCTGGGCTGGAAAGACCGGAAGGGCCTTAGATGAAGCCTAAACTTATCCAGCAGCAGGAGCCTGGGCAAAAGGCTCAGAAAGGGCGGAGGCCTGAGCAAGGGAAGGTGTCTGAGAAACCCTGAAAGTGCTACTCCGTGGCTCCGGGCAGCACCTTACAGCCACATCACACCAGTGCACAATCCGAGTCTCCTGGCCTAGCCTTGAGAAAGCAACTCACAACCCAGGAAAGGCGTGAAAAGGAAGCATGAATAACTCACAAAGAATATTATCAAAAGTTCATGGCATTATCCAGGAAGTGCTTTTCACATTTTTAGGGAAGGCTGAGGAGAAGGAAGGGACAGCCTTTCCAATTCTCAGAGCATCCTGGTTGTTTGGAAACATTCTGCAGACATTCCTCATTGCCCCAGCTCCAGGGATCTGAGAACCTGGAGTAGCAAAGAAGCCCCTTTAT